CTCCAGAAATAATGTCATACAACAGCTGGTGATAAGATTCTTTTTTTGTTTTTGTTTTGTTTTGTTTTGTTTTGTTTTGTTTTTTTTGAGACAGGGTTTTCTCTGTGTAGTTTTGAAGCCTGTCCTAGAACCAGGTTGGCCCTCAACTCACAGAGATCCACCTGCCTCTGCCTACCATCACTCAGCTGCAAGATTTTGTCTTTAAAAAAAAAAAAAAAAAATCCTGGAGCCAGTAAGGCAGCTCAGCAAGTAAAAGCCTTGCCTGGACAAATTTGATGACCTAAGTTTGATCTGCAAAACCCAAAGGGGACTTAGAGAACCAACTCCCAAATTTGTTCTTTGACCTTCAAATGCAACTCTAGCTCCTCCACACATACACACACTTTGTTAAAAAACTTTAAACCAGGCTGTAACTCATGGTAGAATACTTCCCTAAGACCTGCAAAGCCCTAGATTCCATCTCCAGCATCAAAAACAAAATCCTGACCCATCCCCCAAGACCTGATCTTGTCTATCACCCTAATCCTCCCTCATACCAAATGCCTTCCATCTTATTTTATAAACATTCAAATCATCTATAAAAAAACTTCCTTCATCCTACTTCTCAGACCTTACACTAAATATACCTGCCTGTGCTCTCCCTACCCCTTAACCTTAATTACCTCACAGAGTGGGTGCAAACCCCATTCTATTTTCTGGCTTGCTATTCACTCCTCAAGCCCTGAGCTCACTAATATACTTACAGCTGTTCCCAGCTGTTTCATTCTCTGATCAAATACCTTCAGGTTTTCTTCACAAAGTTCATTTACTTATTTGGTTGATCAGCTATTTAATTTACTGCTTAGAGTTTTTTGTTTTTGTCTTTGTTTTGAAATGGGTCTTATGTAGCTAGATCTAAGTTGGAAGCTCTTATCTCTCAGAACTTGGGAAGCTGAGGCAATGGAATAGACTTTGGGGCTAGCTTGAGCTACATAATAAGATGCTATCTCAAAAGAAAAAAAAAAAAAACTTACTGGTTAAAAGATTGGTCCCTAATGCAACATTTCCAGAAGTGAGGCTTTTGGCTTCATCAATAAGCTACTCTAATGAGATTATTGGGAAGTTGATAGAAACTTGCAGACACGTGGCCCAGATGGAGGAAGGATGTCTATGGGGTATGTATGCCTGCTTCATTTTCTCTGCCTTTTGGCTGATATGAGGTGTGAAGCCTCTTCTACCATACATCTGGACAGTCATGTTCTGATAGCCCTTCTGATAATTCTAGTAAGTGCTCAACTGAGAACACTCCCTCACTATCCAGTGTCAGCTTACTCTTACAAATCCATTTCCTATCAGATCTTTCTGAACTTGGGTCAGAAGCCCTAGTAATCTCTGGAGCAGCCAGTGGGTATATTTACTCACCTATCACCAAAAAATCCTATAGCTACCAATGCCAACTTCATCCAACTTCCTTAACCTGGATCTGGTTCTCCTTCTCTTCTTGCAAATGTCAGTTAGTTCACTGGTGTACTGAATGGGGGCCTGGACAGTGACGTGACAGGATGCCCATCCACACATCTGACCCACAGCTGTCTGCTGCCCAATTGCTGAGGGCCTCAGGGCTAACAGAACTCATCACCATCATCATGTGTGTTGATCTCTCCTGAGTTTAGTGAGACCACCAGTGGAGGTCCCATTCCTAAACATGGCCGTACCCAAGGATGAAACCTGTTCGCCTTCCTCTAAGATTCCCAGAAAACCAGGAATACCTTACCTCACAGTAAACAATGTCTGCTCCATAATCCAGGGCTAGGAGTCGCATTGGTAGAGTCCCCACCCGAACCATAGGGGCTAAGATGAGTTTATTGTGGTAGCACAGGGAGAGGCTATTCACAATCATTCCTCCTCTGCTATGCCTGGAGAAAGGGAAAATAGGTTAGAAATACAGTGGTGAACCGGTGAAATGGTTCGGTGGGTAAAGGCACCTGCTGTATAAGCCTGACTACCCTGGAGTTTGATCCCTGGAACCCAAAGTGGAAGGAGAGAACGGACTCCTGAAAGTCGTCCTCTGACCTCAGGGCATGCCCATGCCCCACCACACTCACGCAATAAAAATAATTTTTAAATTAAAAAGATAATGTAGAATTGGAGAGAAATCTCTGTGGTTAGGAGCACTTGCTGCTCTTGTGGAGAACTTGAATTTGATTCCCAGGACCCATAGCAGTGTGCAGCCTTCTGTAACTCCAGTTTCAGGGGTTCTAACACCCTCTTATGACCTTCCCAAGCACCGGCACACATGTACCACAAAAATACACATGCAGACAAAAATACTTATATACATTAAAAAAAAAATACTTTAAATCCCTTCTATCATCCACGGTAGGCTTCTTCCAATTCTTCTGACCTTTATCCATGATTCATGCTCAGCCATTCATCTAACCGCTATTCATTCCATGCTATCAAAGTCTCAGAGAACAAAGCAGGACTAACAGGACTCCTGCCTAGCAGAGTGCTCAGTATAGTAGGTAAGTACAAGCATAAACCAGTAAGTATATAAATAAATAAACCATTATATAGTGTGCTGGGAAATTAGTAGTAACACACAGGAATTTTTTTAAAAAGCAGATTAAGACTCAAAGCATTAGAATCAGTTTTAAATAGTGGGGCTGGTATCTGTTTAAAAAAAAAAAAAAAGATAAGATTTAAACAAAGATTTGGATTAGCCAAGTAGGAATCTAGTACAATGCACAACAAGGCACTGGGCAGTGCAAAGCATCTAAGGCAGGAGCTTCTCTGGTATGTTGGAGGAGTTGTAAGGAGGACAATATGGACTACACAACAGGAGAGAAAATAACAAAAGTCAGATATGTAGAGTAGCATCAGTAAGCTAATAAGCAGCACTCAGATCATGTAGGTTTTCGTGGGACATTCTCAAGACTTTGTTGGCTCTTCAAAAAGATGACCTAGTGAAAAGGGTTATAAGTGGGGAAGTAGCAGCAGCTCACTCATGTTTCACAGGATCAAAATGACTGTTGTGTTTAAAAAAAAAAAAACAAAAAAACAAAAAACCCTGGGGGAACGGGTCAAGAAAGGGCTTTCAGCAGGCAGGGAAGTAGTCACATTCTAGAGCTATGGTAAAGAGATGAGAGGATGAGAACAAAAAGACAGCCAGGGGCTGGGGCTGAGCATAGTGAGCTCTGAGCTAGCCAGGGCTACACAAAGAAAGAAAGGAGGGGTGTGGGGAGGGAGACAATCAAGCCTTGGGACTGTAGCTTACTAGTCATGCACTTGCTTAGTTTGCATGCACAAGGCCCTGGTTTCCACCTCCACTACCATAAAAGAAAAGAAAAGACATTAAAACCTATGTCCTCCTTTTTTTTTTAAGGGTCTCACTATTACAGTCCAGGTTGACCTAAACATGAATTTAGACCAGGCTGGCCTCCAACTCAGAGATCAGCCTGCCTCTGACTCTAAAGTGCTGGGATAAAATGCCCAGATAAATTTTGACCTTTTAAATGGTACTATCATCAATATGTAGCTATCAGGGACTGGTTCTAGGAACCTCAAAAATATAAAATCTGAAGATGCTCAAGCCCCTGCTATAAAATTCCTACATATCTACCTATATACTTTTGGGGTTTTGAGAAAGAATCAAATTTAGGACTTTATAAAGGATACTAGGCAAGCATTGTATCACTAAGCTATATCCCACCCATCTCCCATCATTTGTAAATTACTTACAATGACTAATATAATATAAACACGATGTAAATAATTTTACACGGTACTGTTGGGGAGAACATGAAAGGAAAATTATGTTTAGTACAGACACAATTTTTTTATGACTACTTTCACTCTACAGTGGGAAAAATCCACAGATGTCCATCTAGAAATATGAAAGGCCAGCTCTAGTTAATGAAATTAAAACACTTTCTCCAGATATTAGGAACCTCTCAGGTAATCAACCCACAAACATTGACCTTATCTCTCACTCCAGGCACTTCATACTACATAAAATATTTGGCAACATTTTTTTTTTTTTTTGGCAGATGTGTTCAAGTATAAAATTTAAAAAGAAAAAAAAAAAAAAGCTTAAATAAAATAACCTGAACCACTAAATTCAAGTCTGCTATGTGAGATAAGCTTGATCACTCCAGGATGGTTAACAAGACCCTTCATACTACTTCTGTTCAGGCAATTCAGAATCCACCTGAGAAGTCATTGGACGTCAAGAGTGGCGAATCCTGCCGGGCAGTGGTGGCACATGCCTTTAATCCCAGCAGAGGCAAGAGTCTGTGAGTTCAAGACCAGCCTGATCTACAGAGCAAATTCCAGGACAGGCCCCAAAACTACACAGAGAAATCCTGTCTCAAAAAAACAAAAATAAATCAAACAAATAAACAAAAAAAAAAAAAAAAAAAAAAAAAAGAGTGGAGAATCCAGTATGAGAAGCTGGAAGTGTGAAGCTTGCCTCATCTACTCCGGAGAAGAAATTAGGCCACCAGCATGCACTCGAGTCTAAACTAAAGAACAGGGTTGTGCCTAAATCCAGACTCACATTCAGAGAGTCATTCATACTCTTATACACTTGTATCAACCAGGCTTTGAACAGAGCACACATCTATAAAAACATCGCTGCACTCCAAACCCTTGGAGTTTTATGGGGCGCCAGACTGGGGCAATGAAAACCACAAATACGAATCTCATAAATTAAGTACCCAATTGACAGAGGCCATCCTCACTCCAGGCGACTTCAGCCAGGACCCCACGGCCACCTCCTATGGCTGACCCCCCCCACTCCTGCCATCTACGAGCACCCTTCCCCAAAGATGATCCCACTCTGGATGTCGCCATGCCCGATGGGAACCTACAGACCTCGCAGCCACTGAACTCTGAGGATCCTCCCTCCTTCTGGACCGTGCTGCAGCGCCACACGCCACACGCCACTCTGAGCCGCACCAGCCACCGTAGTCAAGACCACTGTCGCGTGCTTGACGTCACTAGCAAGCGCCACTCCGCATCAAGGGAAATATGGCTTTAGCGCGGCCACCCCAGCTGGTGTCACTAGCAATTCGGTTGCTTCTGGAACCGCGACGGAACATAGCGGGGCGCGGTTCCGACGAGCCCTTGCCAGTGGTGCTCATTCCGCGGGCTCTGCAGCGACGGCAGCAGCAGCGCAGTCGTGGGAGTTTCCCACGGCCGGTGCTGGTGAGACCTGGTCCACTGCTGGTCTCGGCACGGCGGCCGGAGTTGAACCAGCCCGCGCGCCTCACGCTGGGTCGCTGGGAGTGCGCGCCACTGGCTTCGCGTGGCTGGAAGGATCGGCGATCGCGTAAGGATCATTTTTCCATAGAGCGAGTGCAGCAAGAGGCGCCCGCCCTGACGAACCTCTCCTCCAGTGGCAGCTTCGTGGACTTGGGTCTGGAACCCCGAGTGCTCTCCGCGCTTCAGGAGGCTTCGCCCGAAGTCGTTCGGCCAACCTCAGTGCAATCGAAAACCATCCCCCCACTGCTTCGCGGCCGCCACATCCTTTGTGCTGCCGAAACCGGTAGTGGCAAGACTCTCAGCTACCTACTGCCCCTGTTTCAGCGTCTCCTGAGCCGGCCAGACCTGGATTCCCGCAGTTCCTCAGCTCCCCGGGGCTTGGTTCTGGTACCTTCCCGAGAATTAGCCGAACAGGTGCAGGCTGTGGCCCAGTCGTTGGGTAGGTACTTGGGCTTGCAGGTGATAGAGCTTGGAGGAGGCCACGGCATGGGCAAGCTCAAACTGCAGCTGGGTAGACAACCGTCAGCAGATGTGCTTGTGGCCACTCCAGGAGCTCTGTGGAAGGCCCTGAAAAGTCAACTGATCAGCTTACAGCTTCTTTCCTTCATAGTGTTGGATGAAGCAGACACTTTGCTGGATGAAAGCTTCCTGGAACTTGTGGACTACATCTTGGGAAAGAGCCCTATAGCAGAAAGTCCAGCTGAGTTAGAAGACCCCTTTAATCCCAAAGCTCAGTTAGTGATGGTTGGAGCCACGTTTCCAGAAGGTGTAAACCAACTGCTGAGTAAAGTCACCAGCCCAGACTATCTCACCACCATCACCAGCCCCAAGCTCCACTGCATTATGCCTCATATCAGACAGACATTTATGAGACTAAAGGGAGCAGAGAAGGTGACAGAACTGGTTCAGATCCTCAAACAGCGTGACAGGGCCAATAAGACAAAACCCCCGGGAACTGTCCTAGTGTTCTGCAACAGCTCCAGCACTGTGAACTGGCTGGGATATATTCTGGATGACCATAAAATCCAACATCTAAGGCTGCAAGGGCAAATGCCAGCCTCAATGAGAACAGGTATCTTCCAGAGTTTCCAAAAAGGCTCCCAAGACATACTTGTCTGCACAGACATAGCCTCACGAGGTCTAGATAGCATCCATGTGGAACTGGTTGTCAATTATGATTTTCCCCCTACTCTGCAAGATTACATCCATAGAGCAGGAAGGGTGGGTCGTGTGGGCAGTGAAGTACCAGGGGCCATTATCAGTTTTGTGACCCATCCCTGGGATGTGAGCCTGGTTCAGAAAATTGAGCTGGCAGCTCGTAGGAGAAGAAGCCTTCCAGGACTAGCATCTTCAGTGAAAGACCCTTTGCCTCAACAAGCCTAATCTTTGGCTGGCTGGAATGTGATGCTAGAACAGGAATCTCCCTGGGGCAACAGTGGGTGACATTGGATCACTACACTGCCCTTTGCCTCTCTGAAAACATGAACTGTCTGGAGATTTGAAAAGCTACTGGCCAGAACTGGAGAATAACATATTAAAACAATAATAATAATAAAGTGGATTTTGACTTTATATAATATCATGATTTCATTTTTCTTCTAATTGGGGGGGGGGGTCAGAAGACAACTTTGTAATCAGTTCTCTCTTTCCACCTTTCTGTGTTTTTTCCAGGGATCTGAGAGCACCAGACTTGCTTGACAAGTCCCTTTATCCACTTAGCTATCTCTATGGACCTGGTGCCATGATTTCTTTCTTTCTTTTTCTTTTTTTCTCCAGACAAGGTTTTTCTGTACTGTTTTGGAGCCTGTCCTGGAACTAGCTCTGTAGACCAGGCTGGTCTCTGCCTCCCGAGTGCTGGGATTAAAGGTGTGTGCCACCAACCCGGACCCTCGTGTCATGATTTCTAACAAGAATGATTTGTGTATTTTGAAACAGATTGGCATTGTGGAGCCCACAACTGAACTCACTGTGTGTGATTACCTCAAGTTGGTCTCCAATTACCCTTTTCTTCCCCTGCTCTCCTCCCCATCCCCACCCCCTTTTTTTTTTTTTTTTTTTTTTTTTTTTTTTTGAGACAGGATTTCTTTACATGACAAACAGCCCTAGCTGTCATAGAGTGCTGGGATTAAAGGTATGTGCCACCACTGGCTTTATAGTATTTTGGGGGTTTGTTTTGGTTTGTTTGTTTGTTGTCTTGTTTTTTGCTCTTCACTTTTTTGTCCAATGGTTTTTTTTTTTTTTTAAGACAGGGTGTCTTGCCCGGGCTATGGTGACATATGCTTTTACTCCCAGCACTAAGAAGGCAGATAGATGTAAAAGGATCTCTGAGTTTGAGACCAGCCTGATCTACTGAGCAAGTTCCAGGACAGCCAGGACTATACAATGAAACCCTGTCTTCAAAAAAATAAGAGTCTCTTTATGGAGGCCTGGCTGTCCTGGAACTTACTACATAGACCAGGCTGGCCTCCAACTCACAGGGATCTGCCTGCCTCTGCTTCCTGAGCACTAGAACTAAGGATGTGTCACTGATGATCTTAACTTAGCTGATGAATGCTAGGACTGCAGGTTTGTGCTGCTACACCTAGCTAATCATGGTTTTGTGTGGATTTCCCTAACAGTAACCACCATCCGAACAGAATGTTCAACTGTGAATATTCCCATAAAGGTTCTGAAAACCAAACTCTGGCCTTCTGCAAGTATGCACTCTTACCTATGGAGCCATCTGTCCAAGCCCTGTTTGGGTTTTTTGTTGTTTCTCCTTAACACGGTTGTTTGCCATACTGACAGTTTAACCCAGAACCTCAGGTTTATTGGTGAAGTATTTTACCCATGAGCTAAGCTGCATCTCAAACACCATTGTTTGTTTTGAAAAAGGAAGTGAGCCGGGCATTTGTGGCTCACGCCTTTAATCCCAGCACTCAGGAGGCAGAGACAGATTTCTGTGAGTTTGAGTCCAGCCTGGTCTAGGGAGCTAGTTCCAGGACAGCCTCCAAAGCAAAAACAGAGAAACCCTGAAACACGCCCCCCCCCAAAAAAAAAGAAAAGGGAAGTGGAAATTGAAAGGGTTGTCCATTTGTATTGTGTCACTACATCATTAGTATGTTTTCCACTAAAAACTATTTCTACTAAATATTCTGCCAATCCTACTTTGTAAGATCACTAACAAGAACTGTTTTCCCTTGCAGCACCTTTAACATCCTCCCAGTATGTGACAACTTTAAATATAATGACCTATAACATTTATATGATAAGCTTGTCATCATGATTCTGTAAGCTATAAATCTGAAATCCAAGCATGAATAATTTGAAGCCATAGTGTTATTGAAAAAAAAAAAACACTCAATTCTGAGCCAGTGAAATGACCAAATGATTATTGAACCTGGTATCAAGTCTAACAACCCACATGGAGGAAGGAGGTGACTCCCTGAAGTTATCCTCTGACCTCAACACCGATCTGTGGCAAATTGGCACACACAGACAGACAAACAAAAAGTAAATGTAAAAAGGAAGTTTTCTAAAAGCACATTATCTATGTGACCTTGGATAAGCCTGTAAATTTTATTGTTTGAATTTGGCAGGGGTAGAGGGAGCCTGTGTTTGGGTTTTGTTTTTTTCATTTGTAGTTTTTTGTTTGTTTTGTTATTTTTCACTTTTTGAGACAAGGACTCACTATGTAGCCTGTTGGCATGAAACTTGCTCTTTAGAACACACTGGTCTGAAACTCAGAGAGCCCTTCCTGCCTCTGCCTCACAAATGCTGGGATTAGAGCTGAGTGTGGTGGCACATGTGACTCATATTTTTAGTAGTTTGGAAAGGATCTTGCTATATAATCATTAACCTTGAATTCATACTGATCTTCCTACCTCATCCTTTTACTTATTGAGAGAAAACTATTCTTTTTTAAATAACTTTAAAGATTTGTTTTATGTCTATGAACGCTCTATCTGTATGTACATCTGTCTGCATGCCAGAATGTGGTTGCTGGGAATTGAATGCAAGACCTCTAGAAAAGCATCCAGTGCTCCTAACTGCTGAGCTATCTATCTCTCCAGCTTCTTGGAGGTAACTTTCCTTGATGACCTTAAACTTCTTATCCTGCTGTGCTCACTTCCAAGAGCAGAAACTACAGGAGTTTGCATTCTGGTTTATGTGTTGCTGAGGATGTAACCAAGGGTTTCATGCAGGCTAGATGAGCACTCTGGATATAGCTCTATACCCATAACCCACTCCTTAACTTTTCTTGAGACCTCAATTGTACAAAATAAAAGTTCTATGAATGCATTATTTGAACAGAACAAAGTCAATAGAAGCCTGTCTGCCTGTTTCTTTTTTTTTGGGGGGTTGTATTTTTATTTGCTGTTTATGGATGTTTTGCCTGCATGTGTGTTTAAGAACCACAATCATGCAGTGCACTTGAAGGCCAGAAGGCATTGGATTGCCTTGGAACTGGAGTTACAGACTGTTGTCAGTCACCATGTGGATGCTGGGAGTTAAAACTAGGTCCTGTAGAGGAACAGTCAGTGCTCTTGTCTGCCAAACCATCTCTCCAGCCCCTGCCTTTTAGTTTTGCTAACTAGTATGTCTTTTGCACCTGTCCAGATTTGACTTTTTAGACTAGGTCTCTGTATGTTGCCTTGGCTGGCCTCAAACTCAAAAGATCAGCCTGCCTCTGCCTAAGTGTATCAAAGGTGTGCACCACCATACCCATCCTCTCTGGCTCTCTAATCCACTCAAACTTCTGCCTTTCTGTTGCTTATGGGCACAGAAGTACAATTTTGCTATCTAAGGTTAATCTTCACTCTGACCAATCTCAGAATTTGTGTTTCTTGTATCCCCCAGTGGCCACTGGGCTGTAACTACCCAGAGGTGCTACCCAGAGAGTGGCTACTCAAGTAGGCCACCTGGAAGAGCCTATCCAGGGTTCCTCTCTGTCTTTGCTCTGCTCTTCTTAAAGCATGGAGGCCTGGAAGACTATCCCTTAAGTAAAAGGTTCCATATGTGACCGAAGCAGGTAGTGATGACATCACAGCTCTAAGTTTCCATGGCAATGTAACTATAGAAACTTGGATCCTTTAGGAAAACATTCCTATTTTTTCTGTACTAGATACAAGTCTGACTGTCTTGAGAATGACTGATCGAATCTTCTATATTAACTCTAACTTGTCCTCTATCCCCTGTGAAGGCTGTTATTCAGGTAAATCTAGACCAGGCATCTGCACAGAAATCTTTGGTATACATGTAACTTCACTGGGGACTATATTTCTCTTAGGCTTGTCTGTCACACCTCGGTATTTCTCTAGCCATGAGTAAAAGAAATGGTTAACACTGAGTCATAGACCAACTATTCAAAATTCAGAACAAATGACAGGTCATCTTTGAGCAACTGTTCATTTAGAAAGCTCCTAATTTTCATCAATTTAGCTTTGCCTTTGAGCTGTAAAATGATACCCCTGCCATTTTTTTTTAAGACAATCTCTCACTATGGTTCTGGCTCTGTCTGTCCTGGAATTCACCATGTAGACCTAGCTGGCCTTGAACTCAGAGATCTGCCTGCCTCTGTCTCCAAGTACTAGAATTAAAAACATGCACCACCATGACCAACACCTCCAAAGTCTTACTTTTTGTTTTGTTGGTTTATTTATTTATTTTACATCCCGGTCAGTTTACCCTCCCTCTTCTCCTCCTAGTCCCTCACACCATACCTCTGTTCCCATGCCCCCAATACCCTCCTCCTCTGTTTCATTTAGGAAAGGATAGGTCTCACATGAGTATCAACAAAACATGGTATATCAAGTTGCAGTAAGACTAAGCACCTCTCCATGTATTAAAGCTGGGCAAGGTGACTCCATATGAGTAGGTCCTAAAAGCCAGGAAAAGAGTCAGAGACAGCTTATACTCCCACAAGAGGACCAAGCTACACAACTGTAACATATATGCAGAGTGCCTACGTCAGGCACAAGGGAATCTCCCAGAATCTACAAAGATGACCCCAGCTAAGCCTTCTAGCAATAGTGGATAAGTAGCCTGAACTGACCATCTCCTGTGACCAAGCAAGACTTCAAGTAGAAGGAGTGGAAAACCAACCTAGGTACATAAACTTCAACCTATCCTGTCTATAGGATGTACTATGGCCTAGATACTGAGAGAGTGGCCAACCAATGACCATTCTAGCCTAAAAGCCATGCCAGGAGAATAAGCCCACCCCTGGCACTGCATGAAACATCAGAACCCAAAGGCTGGATGACCCAGAGACCTAGGATGGAACCAAACATGACTGGAAGGGGCAGTGAAGGTCAGTGTAATGATGCTTAATGATATTCTGCTTACACATAGATTTTAGTTGTTCTTGTTTGAGACAATTTCAGTATGTAATTCAGCAGGGCTACAACACTGCATGTAGATCAGGCATGGCCCCAACTTGTGGCAATCCTCTAACCTCGGCCTCCCATGGTCTAAAATCAGAGGTGTACCAGCACACCTGTCCTACCTACCTTTTTTCCTTCCTTTCCTTTCTTTTTTAAAGTTTTACTGTTTAGGAACTGGCAAGAT